CATTAGCACCTCTAGTAATATATTTACTGAGAAAAATGTTGACGTGTTCAATACTTATTTTACCCGTTGTATTTTTTCTGATTTAATTTTAGACACAAATCATCTGGTTAGCAGTGTACTTTTTCTTTTTACCATGAAGTGAAACAACATAATGCATGTAAAATTAAACAGAAGTAGTAAATGCCTGTCGGTAAAACTGTCAGCCTTTTTAAGGATTAAGCAACCACACTAACACATTAGGTAGAAATAAAACGTTGCTCAAAAAGTGTATGTACACTAGGGCACAATTGTATTGTGTGCAACTAACTGTCAGTAAAACTGTCAACAATTAATATTTTCCACTTTGCAATTACTGCAATTAGTGACATGTCATGATGTATTTTTGCATGCAACACACTTTCACTATCAGGCGTGCATGCGAGTCCAATGATGGAAGCCGTCATGGAGCAGCCAACACCAACCCTACAAACTGGTTTATTCACCTAAAATACCAGAGTATGAAGAAACCAAGAAGATGTGGACCAAGTCACAACATTGACCACATACAAGTGCAACGTCATATTAATTGTTATCGGATAAATGCCGTGATTAATCCTACTAAATTCTTATGTCAATGTTGCCCATCCCTAGCATACACGTAATCTCTGCTTTGTTTTCTTTTTAAAGCTGCCTGTCTAGCTAATGACAACCAAACATTATTTCCTGAAAGTTTCTTTACAGTTTGTTTGGTGGATTATCAGTTTGCTAATAAGAACTGAGCTGACTCCAAATAGTTAAGGACAAAATTGTAAACTAAGAAATTACACAATTTGTTACTCCTCAAAATGTGTTGGGGATCAGCCTTAGCCTCCACCATATCTGTAGAAAAGACTTATATGTTGCCATTTTTTTGTGTGTGTTTTCTAATGTCAGATGACTGTGGTAGCTTTAGTGACTTGACTCTAAAGGTTAATCAGTTGTAACTGTTCAATTAAAGATTACTCTTTCTGTAAGTTCCATGTTCGTTTTTGATTTGTGCTTTGGATCAGACGAATTAATGGATTAAGCCCAYATAATACCAACCTTCACTCCAAACCTGAACACCATCCACAGAGACCCCCACTACCAGYCCAGGAGCTCCAACTTCAGTCTGATAATACGAAATGCTGAATTAATACAGGTGCTTTTATGGGTTATATGGAAATATGAAGCAATCAAGCAGCCCTACCTCATTGCCTACCTTTATCCGCTCCAGTAGCTCTCTGCTTACTTTTATTGCTTCTCCGTATGTGCTGGCCTTTTTTACTTTTTCTTCACACGAACTATCAGCGGAGTCGAAGCTGTATTTCAGTCCCACCGCTAAAACAATGCCCACACCGACCCCACATATCCAAATACTGGACTTAGTTCGGTATTTACAAAGGACAACCCCCCCTGTGTGACCCCGTTGTTGTTGTGTCTGGATAAAATCTCTGTGAGCCTTGTTTTGCAGATTGCCTCGAGCCCCGGCTCGCGCTTTCAACAATGGAGACTCGCGCGCTGCTAGCAGGAAGCATCTGCTATGTGACGAAAACAAGCGTGACATGATTAAAAACAAACAAACAAACAAACAAACAAACAAACAAACAAACACTGCTTCTAGAAGAGGACACAATGCTAGCAACTGCCACTTTTAGCCACAGCTAAAAAAAAAAAAAAAAAAAACTTGCTCACTTCCTGTTTTTGCCCTCGGTGAAGACCAACTTAATCGAGTTCAGACAACATCGAACCAAAATCTCATCGCTTGCGCTACGGCTCAGAAAAGGCTGAGTTTAATCTGYTCATTGAACAAAAGGCTAATAAAGTAAAGTAAAACTACGTTAAAGAAGTMTACAGATATATTTGCCATAATGCACTTGGGAAAACTTCTTTTGTTTGAAATAAAATCTGGTTGGGAAGAACTATCACAAGGCACCTCCAGAAAAGTTTTAATAAAGTGGCTGTGTGGGGGCTACTGATAATCCTGGGTGGCACATCAAAATCAAAAAACCATGCCAGAATTTCAGAGATTCTATTATGCTGTTGTTGAAAAACAGTGATGTAAAAAAACTGTGGCAATGTGTTAAGTAATTGCTAACTGATGTACCTTAACTTTCTTCTTTTACAGGTAAATACATTGCAAAAAAATAACCATCTGACCCAGAGGAGCCCAGAGTGGGGCCCGCAGGCCAAATTTGGCCCGCCAAGYCATTTGATTTGGCCCACCAGCAGTTGACATAGTTACTAGGCTGTAACCTGTCGTCCTATGTAAAAACACAGTATTTCCACTTAGTCATTTCATCTATTGGCCCAATGACTATATAAGGGGCTGTCATACAGATAGTCTTCACTCATGGTGTTAACTTGATCTAAGTAGCAAAGGCTCATGGGACATTAATGTCCTGTGAGTCTTTGCCACTTGAACGTATGGCAGACTTTCTCCAACTGTGCAGACTAAAACAAAAGTGGGCCACTGCTCTGGCTGCAGGTTTAATTGTTAAAAATAAAGGACTTTACTTAAAAAAAGTATTTGTATTTCAAATATTGTTACTGCATTTGGCCCGCAGCCCCGAATAGATTTTCATTTTGGCCCTCTTGGGGAAAATGTTTGGGCACCCCTGATCTRACCCAATCTTACAATCCTTTATCCAGCAAGAACGAACTTTGATCTTGGTTCAAAACTGATATACTAAGCAAGAGCAGAACACAGATTATTAATCCTGTTAGTCTGGAAATTTTCCTTCAGGAATTGTCTGCAGTTGCATATTATTTCACTTAGTCTGAATCTTCTCAAATGAAATTATCTGACAGTGCAGGAACACAATTACACTTGGTAAGATAGCTACTTTTTGACTGGTCATATACCATTGTAAAACTTGGTTAGATGGACAATTTTTGTACTGATACTGTGATGTGCATAAACTAGAATAACCTTTGAAGTTCCACAACAATTCAGGTTTAATGTGTTTCACTTTCCACAAGTACAGTAGAGTATTGACTGCGCAGATTTAGCAACTGTCAAGTAAAATACTGAAGTCAGCCTTTTGTCAGAAGTTAATTTCTTAATTCCCACATTGCAGTACTTTTTAATAAGCCTGGCAATAACACGACAAAACTTCAAAAAATTATGTTACACCTTTTGGTTTAAATGTGACAAGGCTAGGACTAACAGTGGTCCTCATCTGGCCTCTTTTGAAAAAAGTGTGAAGGCTCCCTTGGATAAAAGAACATCAGCTTTACCCTTAAGTATTAAGATATACGTTTTTAAAGGATAATAACAAAAATATGTTCTTCATTAGTACTGTAACTTGAAAAACACTAAGTCTGATCAAGTTAAGAAAGAGTGGCAGAAATAAACTCCACAGAGCTCCTCTTACTAAAACATTCAAACATCCAAGTCTGCTAAATATGTTTTCTTTCAGACAGTTCCATTTCTTAGAAAGTTTTTATTTTCACAAAAGCTAAAAAATTAAAAAAAAACACAAAGTTAGAAAATTTTCAAAATGTGCTTTTATTTTTTTATAGTTATAATTTGTACATTTCAGACGTAATGAACACTTTAAAAATCTTTAAAACATAGCTAAAATGATGCACAACCGTTGACTGAAATGTTGTTAGAGAAGATGGGAGACATTTTAAATGGTTAAGAGAACAATATTCTTCAACATACTGTAAAGCATGACAGAACAATACAGTAGCACCATTATATACTGACAGGCATTACCTGCGTATACTTAATTTGCAAGGGTAAAAAAAAAAACCAACAGTTAAAATGCATAGTAAAAATGCAGTTATGTTTTTGGCTACTTCATGCAAAACATCTTCACTTTGTCTTTTGGTGTGTGCGCAATCATAGTAGAATTAAACTTTTCAGACCAGCTTTATTGCAAATGTAGAAAACAATTTGTGGAACCAAATTTTACCAGATATCAAAAAAAAAAAAAATAATCCAAATATATATCTATCTATCTTTTGATAACTGCAAAAGGCAGGCATTTCATCAAAGGGAATGGTTAAGCTTTTTTTATTATGTTTTTTAGCTCTGCTGCTTGGCTGAGTTCCACTGAAGGCAGAACTGTGCAATAAAAGTAGCATCCAGTTGTTTTGGTCACAACCATCGGCAGGGTGTAATTAGAAGGGGTTATGGTAAGCAAGGTGCAAATACAAAATGTCAAAACCCACAATGTGTGTGTGTGTGTGTGGCAGGGGGAGGTCAGATGTGTCTTCACAAGTTATTCAGTTCCATTAGAGTCTGGTCCAGCATCTGATGCATGTCAATGTTCTCCTCTTTAGCATGCGACAGTTTCTCTGTTAGAACATCAAATACAGACAGTTTTAGTTCAGACAATCACAAATGAGTCAGTGAGTTAGATTTTTTACTGAATTAACAGTGAATTAGCATTGACATAAAACAAGAGAAACATCCATCCATCCATCCATTTTCTGTACACGCTTCTTCCTTTTCAGGGTCGCGTGGGTCACTGGTGCCCATATCCAGCAGTCACAGTGCGAGGGGCAGGGTACACCCTGGACAGGTCGCAAGTCCATCACAGGGCCACACATAGAGACAAACGAGACAAACAACCATTCACTCTCTCACTCACACCTAGGGACAATTTAGAGTTATCAATTAACCTAACAGTCATGTTTTTGGTCTGTGGGAGGAAGCCGGAGTACCCGGAGAGAACCCACACATGCACGGAGAGAACATGCAAACTCTACCCAGAAAGGTCCCCAGACCGGGATTTGAACCGGTGACCTTCTTGCTGAGAGGCATCAGCTCTACCAACTGAGCCAAATATCCAAGAGAAACAGTTATGTCTAAACCCCCATGCTGATCTGCTCTCTGACACACAAACATGAGTTTATGAGCAACATTACGTTTATGAGATGGTGGTAAAAAAAAGGCAGGTGGGTTATATATTAAACTGAATAAAACTGTTCCAGCATGAACAACATTCCACACACAGCAACACAAAACTCATACATAAAGAACTGAAGAGAAGACTGGGTTGTATCATCGGCCAAAAAGTAAAAAATAAAATATTCTTTCATCTCCATTTTTCACAATTTTAAATTTTCTGCCTACTAAACTTTATCAGTCTTTGATTTTTAAAAATGAAGAATATCCAATAAAAAGTATTTAAATAAAGTTAATCCTTAAATACGTAGCTTAACATCATAGCTATTTTTTCACTTTACGTGAAAATTCTTTGTGTTTAGTTTAATTTATTTGCTAACTTATCCAACCACTGATACAACAGAATTCGACTATGTTGAATTTTTTTTTTCATTTCTAATTTATTTTCCCCCTTTTTCATGAAAAAATCATTCTGGTTTTTGCTCATTCGTAAATTATATTTCTTTTGGTTTGTCTCCCATTTAATTCATCGTGGACAGCAAAGTAAGAATTTCATTGCTCAGAGAAACATGTTTAATAACAACTATTTATTTTCATTTTATGTTAAACCTGGAGAAATTTTAACTTTAAACATTAAATCAAAAACGTCCACTGGTTTCAGCTAGTCTTAATGAACTTTAAGCAAATTTAGACTGAAATAACAAATTGCTATAGAATTCTGTTTTAGTTTCTCAGCTGGAACTATCTGTAAACCATTTTACTACTGAGAAAAACTTTTTTTTTCTCCACAAGTTGAAGTCAGGAAGCAAAGTGAAAGAAAGGATAGAAAACCATAAGGAAGAAGACAAATACTGTACAAAAATAGTGAAAAAGTGTTTTAAAACTTGTCTTTTTTAGAGTACATCTTTGCAATATTTTAAATCTTAGAGCACAACAAAAATATTCTTATTGCAAGTAAATATGACCAGTTTTAAACTGTTTTTTAGAGAATTCGGACACTTGTTCGAGAACAAGACTGCAGCAGATAAAGAAAAAAAACAAAGTTAATTCAATTATGAACAAAAAGACAAACAATAAGGCAGGGCTATTCAACTAAACTGCTCCAGGGGCCACAGTTACTGCAGGTCAACAGCTGAGGGGTCGAACATCCAGCAATTAAAGTTATTATGTAAATTAACCAAGTATAACAAAGATCTGTTACCTTTGAATTAGTTTTTTTTGCTGCATTTAATCTTGAATAGAACATACAGAACCCTATAAAAGTAGTGATAATTAAACATTATCAAAAACAAAAAGAACACATTGTGCCTTCTATTTGACACACATAATATTTTGACATCTCTGACTTGCCAAATTTTTAAACCAATTTTATTTTCACTTTCATAGTTTTATCTTCAACTGCTTGTAATTTTAATTGTCTTGAGTGTTTATAGAAATGATTTCACCAGCTCGTAGCCAAGATTCTGACATTTCTGTAGATACCAAACATGTCTATGTTTAACTAAAAGAACTTAGAACAATTAAAGTAGAAAACCGGGGGTTTTGGGCTTAAGAGATGAATGAACCAATTGGCGGGCCGAACTTTGGTCACTCACGGGCCGGATGTGGCCCGCAGGCCGCCAGTTGAATAGCCATGCAATAAGGACAATTATTCCTGATTTCAAAAGTACAACAGTGTGAAAGGTAAAAACAATGAATTTTCTCAGTGTTATCTATTCAGTGAATATAACGAGAACCACATAAATGTGGTTTAATGACTATTTCAATCAGAATCACTCCAGTCAGAATAAAGCTCAGTCCTGCTTATTTCTGTGTATTTAGGCAATCCCCTGGAATAAAACAGACTCAGACTCTGTCATTGTGTATTTATTCAAAAGTAAGACAATACTTTGAATCACACAAAGCTCTTTTGTTCACCCTACCAGCATCAACTCCATCCAACTTTGCCAGCACCAGACGAGAATCCACAACTCCTACATGCTGCTCTGCGTTTCACCAGATTACCCTAATCTCTCTACGATTTAGCAGTTAATGCTCACCAACTCTCACACACTTCCAGTTATCTTTTTCACAAGGTGAAAAAAAAAGTGCTTGCATGCATCAGTCTCAAACATACGGCTCAGTTTTCAGTCAAGCACCTGAGGTCGCTGTAAGTTTTTAATCCTCACAAAAATATTTCATATTTAATACCTCAGCTGCACAGGATATTTGACAAAACAAAAAGGGACATCAACTGAAATTTATCAAACGACACCGTGTAGAGATGGAGCTAATGGGGTGATAAGATGAAAAAGAAAAATCAGGAACACGAATTAACAGCAAAAGGCTTTGGGATTTCACTTGAACCACTTTACATTAAGACATTAGAAAGGAAAATAAAAAGGAGCAGAGTAAAGAGAGAGAGATTACAATAGAAGGAAAGATTTTTTATTCTTTTTTACACAATGCAGAAAGATTCTAGGATTCTGTACAAGAGAGTGGATGTGTGGCTGACATGGAAACATGAGGAGGAAAGGAAAGCAAAGGGAAGACGGGGAGCAGGCCGGAGCGAGAGCAGACAGGTGCTGCTCGGGCATGAGGAGGCGTCTTTGACGAGGTGTAAACGATTTATCTGTGTGGGAGAGAAGAAGCACAGTTGAACCGGGGCGGGGGGGCGGTTGCTGTGGGGACCTACGATGATGCGAGACACACACCACAACATACCAGAACCATGGGAGACATACCACCGCAACAATGCTCGAGAGGGGGATTAAAAAAAAAAAACGCACTGTGCACCCTGAGCTACTCCTCCACTGGAGAGCACTGACAAACAGATAGGATGCTTCCTCTTAAGCTCTCCTGATAACCTCGTAATTTAGCAAAACTGGGAGCTCAACCACGAGTGGTGCTAAATTACCACACGACAACCTAACCTCAGCTAGCATACCGACAAAACAGGTGGCCTTTCTTCTAGACAGAAGTAAGACCATATTAGTAGAAGAATAAAAGACGAGGGGTGGGGGACACAAAATCTTTAGTTATTATGGTCATTTAAATGCCTGTTTGATCCAGTTTCAATGAATTTGTTAAAATGACCATGATTCTTTTTTTCCCACATATTAAAGATGTGTGAGATAACAAAAACTATTTCCACATTGAAGTACAACCCATGCCTTTTTTCCATTCATGCACAAGTCTTGTTTACAGAATACTGAAACAAATCATCTTGTTTAAAATCTGCATAGCATAGTAAATTAAGATAATTCAATCTAAAAAAAAAAACTTTCAGTTACACAAAGAGTTGTCTGTTTTAAGGCACTTCAAATGAAGAGTTAAAACAGACAGATTTAACATCTCTTATTAGGAGTGGAAAATTAAGACAAAAAAAGATGCTTTTAAGGAAGGGGGCGGGGTCAGAAGTAAAAGGGAGGAGACAAGCAGATGCAGAGAGATGAGAATTACATGGAAGTCATGTCGTTGAGGGCGTGGTCCAGCTCCTCGCTGATGGCCTTGTACTTGAGTTTCTGGGAGTACAGCTCGTCTATTGGTGGTGGTGGTGGTTGGTGGGGGGCAAAGGTGAAGGGAAGTGGGGAGGAGGCAGGTGCGGCGGAGGAGAGCAAGGAAGGCAGAGGACACGACAAGGATGTGAAAGGAGGAGCATCCAAGGAGGAAGAGGAAGAAGAAGAGAGGAAAACAGAAACGTTGAAAACAGGGCAGTGACAAGGATACAATCTGTGAAACTAAGAAAAAAAATGAATTTTTGTGTGAAAATGAGGTGCGAATGCTGAGGGCTGAATAATAGCTGAAATTAGCTGAAGAAGCCGAAACTAAGAGGTTAAGTTAAAAGAAACAAAGCACCACGAATGAACAAGAGCCAAATGTAGCAAAAATATTTGTTAAATGCTAAAATAAACCATCTACAGGCTAAAATAACCTAAATACTAATTAAAAGCAGTAAAATCTAGCAACAAGCTAAAAGTAGCAGAACAGTAGCTAAAAACTAAAAAGTAGCAAAATGCTAGCTAAAAATAAAAGCTGAATGGTAGATTAAAGGTGAAAGTAGCATAGCGGTAAAGAGTTAAGTCAAATTTGCTAAATTAGATTAACAAAAACATGTTTGATTATAATGGTCTAATCTCACTGTAATCTTAAAGGGAAAATATTTGTAAACAAAGTTACATTTTTGTAAAGTAAACAAGTAAAAAAAAACAGAACCGTCTCCTGACTGAGCTGAACATTTTGATATGTGAACAACTAAAATAGAACAAATTATGCAGAAGTAGTTAGAGTGCAAAAAAAAAAAAATAAAAAAAATAATAACTCATTAAAACAACAGTGCAACTGCTGAATCAGCATTCACACAAATAACTCAMAAAGCAGAAAATTAACAAATGTCAGAATCAGTTCCTTAGCAACAGCTGGAATGAGTCGAAATGTAAAACATCTACAACGTTCCCTCCGACCTTAAAAACCACAGTAAAAACAAAACAAACAAACAAAAAAAAAAACAGATATTTGATGCATCCTGGAAGAAGTGCCACACAGTGAGAAGAGGGAAGCAGAATATAATTTAAAGGTTTCTAAGGAAAATATGGTCCCACCTAAATAACACCCTGAAACATTTAAAAAAGGAGAGGAAAACAACAACAAAAGAACAAAAAAATAAACTCAAAAAAAAAGCCTACCTTCCAAGTCGTCGATGGTCTTCTCAAGCTTGGCTACTGATCTCTCAGCGAACTCAGCACGGGTCTCAGCCTGCGGCACAGAGACAATTCAGGTCCAACACTCGAGCATCACTGACTCAATCATCCTGGAGCCGTAGGAAATACGCGCCAAAACTTTACCTCCTTCAGCTTGTCGGTGAGGACCTTGATCTCCTCCTCATACTTGTCTTCCTTCTGTGAGTACTGTGGGACAAAAACAAAGACTGAAGGTCASACATGAGGCGACGTTAAATATCCAAGTGAATTTAGACGCGCTATAAAGCAAGGAGCTTCGGCTCCTCTGGCTCTTCTTTTCCCACTGAGTGTGTCAACAGCATGCACGGGACCAGAAAGCCCCACTTACCTTCTCAGCCTGGGCCTCCAGTGACTTCAGGTTGTTGGTCACAGTTTTCAACTCTTCCTCAAGCTCAGAGCATTTGCTGGTGTTTTAGACGAGGCGATAAGAATGGCCAAGGATACAACAGAGGGAGGAGGAGGCAGAAAGAGAGATGGGGGTGGGGGGGAGGATGGATGGAAGCAGAGGAAGACACAAAACAGGTTGAGGGAAACGCRAAGGAGGGAGGGATGACATGAAATAAATAAGAAACTATAAGGATCCAACAAAAAGGAAGTCAAAAAGAAACAAATGTGCCTTAACAGAGCAGGAATGTGAGGACAGAAAGCTGATTCTTTGGTGATTTATTAAATAAATAAACAATTTCAGGATTCAGATTCATTTGTGAGAMGTTCTGTAGAAAGGTTATTAACAATTAATATCTTACCTGTTGTACATAGCTCTTAAGACCTCAAAAATGAGAATAGTTTAAATAAATTAAATTTTTATTAAAAATTATCAACTTCTATTTAAAAAAAGTGGTTCATGAGACTACTATTTTAAAATCCTTTAAACTACGTAGGCCTATGCGCCAACATCTTAGCTTTTAATAACGTCAACAACATGTGACTCCAAATATCCTTTGTTAAATTACTAAAACAAATACGGGCCTTATTACATCACAAATAAACTTATATTTATCTACCTCATTTGTGACTACTGTTATTTATTGTCACAGTAATAAAACATGCAAGTAATTTTTGATTTTTTTAATTTTGTTACGTTGTTTTGGAGATCATCTCAGCACCACCAACCTGGCTTTTCTGACCTACATTGGGGTCCCAACCCTTACTTTGGGAACCACTGTAATTTCCCAATTAATGGTTATTCCAGCAGAAATATTTTGATATTCATGTCAGAGTTAACCAAGACTACAGAGCTCATGCTGATGCAGCTGCTAGTACTTGTGTTTGAAAAAACAAAAAAGAACAGCCCCACCCCCCCACAAAAATAAATATTAAATTTCCATAAAGTATTTTCATGTAACRATAAAAAAACTGTTCACACAAAATAAATTTAGGTACAATTAATTATTTAAGTTAAAATGTGATTTCTTAAAACTGACATTGTTCAAAAAGCCATCTACAACAGGTAAGATATTTTTTGTTTGCAACCTTTCCAGAAAATCCCACTTCAAAGGGTGCTTGTTAACTGTCTTGTTAGCAGAGCAAAAACGTGAAAAGAGCAATGTGATACATTTTTTAAACATTTTATAATAAAAATCAACAGTCACAGCCATGAAAACTCATGCTCTCTCGTGTTCCTCCTGTCCAGCTTCCTGCTGTGTTAGGCATTAAACCGTCTAAATCTCCTCAGAATAAAAGTAGGAAGAGGAACAAGCACAGAATGCAAAGCAGACGCGGCACGACTGACAAGAGAGAAGAGCCACCGCGGGAGTTTGGCTTTGTTGTACCTGCACGACTGAGGAATTTAGTGATTTCAGGCTTTGCTCCAAAACCTTTAGCTCCTCCTCCGCTCTTCGAGCCCGCCTGTTAGTGGGTGTGGCAGCCACAGCCATTCATTCAAACCAAGGTGAGCATGCAAATGATTAGCAAAGACATAAAATAAAAAAATAATAAAACACGGTGAGGTTAAAAATAACTTTCATAGTTGGTGAATTATCGTCTACAATCTTTCACAGTCTTTGCTCCATGCTTGTGTGAGTACAGAGGTTAGTGTGCACAGAGGTGAGGTGGCTTACCTTTCTGACAGCTCGGCGCGCTCCTCTGTACGTTCCAGGTCACCCTCAATGATGACCAGTTTACGGGCCACCTGAAGGCGCAGCACGACAACAGTTACACCAAACAGCAGGTGTTTACAGCCACCTCACAGTTAGCATTAGGTACGGTTTGTTTACTGCACATTCACTTATTGCTGTTTAATGTTTTGCCAGCGGCTGAAAAACTTGCCTCCTCATATTTGCGGTCAGCCTCCTCAGCGATGTTTTTGGCCTCTTTGAGCTGGATCTCCTGGATCTCCATCTTCTCCTCGTCCTTCATGGCTCTGTTCTCAATAACCTTCATGCCTCTGTGAGGGGGGGGGGGGGGTCACATAGTGTCGGTGAAAAATGCTTTCCGCGTTTGCAAGAAAACTTTTACACGAGTTTGTGAATTTTTAATTAGCTATTTTTACTAGGGCTGTGTATTGGCAAGAATTTGGCGATACGATACATATCATGACAGAGGGGTCACGATACAATATATCCCGATATATTGCGATACTATAAGCAAGGCGATATATTGCGATTTTTTTTGTCCAAAAATTCTATTAAATAAAAACCTCTTACAGGGGAAAAAAAATGAAAAACCAAAATTCATTGTCTCAGAAAATTCTAATATTACAAAGACATGCTTTTGATACATTTAGCTGTGTTCTGCTTTGTATGTGTTTTATTTTATTTGTTTCATATTTCTTATTTCATCCATGTTTTCAATTATTAGACTAAATTTGACAATAAATAGTTTGAAAATATATTTTTTGCAGCTTTTAGTTTTTAATATTAATTTACAATATGGTCACCAACACTTAACAATGGCCTCTACCTCAAGAGGTAGAGTAGCCAAATGGCTGGCTCACTGCTGCCAACTAGTGGTCAGAGGCTGAACTACAACATAAAAATGAACGGCTGGCAGGAAAGTTGACATTTTAAACCTTAATAAAAAAATCGATACAGGGCTTTAGAATATCGATACAGTATCGGGAAATGAAATATCGCGATATTTCAGTGCATCGATATTTTCTTACACCCCTAATTTTTACAGTGAACAACTGACTCTTATTGGGGGAGGGGAGAGTCCCCTCAAGTCTAACTTCGGAGAGAGACATTTGAGTGACGGCGGTCTCAGGAAGACACYCACCTCTCGCTCTCGTCAGCAGCCTTCTCAGCCTCCTCCAGCTTCTGCAGGGCTGTGGCCAGACGCTCCTGAGCGCGATCCAACTCCTCCTCAACCAGCTGGATACGTCTGTTCAGGGAGGCGACATCTCCCTCAGCCTAGCGGGGAGGAAAGCGGAGCATCGTCAAGAGACGCCGCGGGGCATCTTAAACGCACCGAGTCAACAAACTATAAACACACGTCAGCCCAAAGAAAGCTTAGGTTCAAACACATCACAAGCTCTGAGTTTGGGGAGTAATAATGATCCAGAATTCAATTTTTATGGGAACAAAAAATGGCCTCCCTTACACGTTTTCCAGTGCTTCATATGTGCCTTATATTAACTTAAAGTCTGATAAATATAGATCTGAGCAAGACCTGAGGAAAGTAGGGGGTCAAAGGGTGCTGCAGCAACCCCCAATGGATGCTAGAGGACATGTATGCTCAAATACTTAAAAAATCGTGTCAAAATGAATTAAACAGATCTCATTAGTTATTTTTTTCAATTCACTGGTTTAGTAAAYTGGTATAGCACTTTTATTTTTTATCTAACATATAAACAAATTTTATATGTTTTTGATGGCCACTTTTTTCACTGCATATATTTGGTATTGTGATAGAGTCTTTATCTGGACGGTTAGGGTCATAAAATGTAGATGTTTATAGGACCCCCACAACTGAAACGTGTTTTTAGGTTAAACAATCACGCATTTATTTGTTGTACTTCTGCTTTCTGGTGTTTGCTCTGCAGGTGTAAAATGGTCCTAACGCACATCAAGCTAATTCTACAGCAAACTTTTACTTTTTAAAAGTTATTTCCCCTGCAGCTTGTGTTAAATTGTAATGCAGGGAAGGAACAAAGTGTGTGTCATGTTTAGGAAATGTAACAAGGAAGGAGCTCTATTTTAACATAACTGGTGCGGGGGAGAAAAGTAAAAGTTTGTGTAACTGCCTGTGTGTTGTAGCTGTGAGAACCCCACTGCCCTTATATGGGCAAAGACAAAGAGCACAGCCTGACAKTGCAGACTGGCATATTTGATGTTGCCACAGATGAGCTTTTTTTTTTTTTTTAACTTCCTGGTGTCTCAAAAAAATGAAAGGAAGAATTGTTTGAGTTGATTTTTTTAAGCAAATTGGTTTGATTTAAAGCCCATCCCCCCAAAATATGCATTTTTAAAATTGATTATGATTCTGAATGAATGAATTATGAATGAATTATGAATCAGGGGCTCCATGATTATCAGTGGGGCCCTCAAACTCAACTTATCAGAGAACTCTTCCATCAAACTAATGTGGGGGAAAAACATCTAACCGACTGTTTTAACTTCTCAGACAGGAAATGTTTGATGAGGAACTGATGCGCAAGTGTTCAGTGTGTGTGTGTGTGTGTGTGTGTGTGTGTGTGTGTGTGTGTGTGTGTGTGTGTGTG